AAAGAATAGATGGAATATTAAACGCTTTCAGAAAATGAGGGGGAAAGCACACTAGCTTTTAAAGTGAAGCAGCATGTATCGTTTCTCCTTCCATTGGCTGTTTATCCAACATCAATACAACACTTTAGGAGCCAAATTACTAAACAAACTGCCAATTAGGCTTGCAGTCAGCTGGATAGATTAGTGGCTAAGAGAGGCAGATACAAGATTTTCATCTCTTGAGCCAATTACGGAAGTGAATTACCATCCACAATGCTCCTTGGAAGATTTGAGGTAGAAAGACTGACTCTGCTGTGATAGACGTAAGTGAGATCCAGGGTAGGGGGTAAGGGTTAGCAGGCCATGTGTTGCAAAAATTACCCAAGCAAAAAGAGATCCTTCTAGGAAAGGATTTAAAGGATTTAAGGCTGCTGGGAGCGATAGAAGAGGAAATAATAGTTGTGGTATGCTCTACAAAGGCATTGCTGTTCTGCTCACAAGTCTTAATCATATAAAAGCAAGATGAAAGGCCAAGGCTATATTTATGTACAGTGTCATTGCCTCAGAACTGTTTAAAAACCTGTTTTCTTAACATCAAAAATAGTTTGGTGGCCAGAGATGAAATTACTTCAGTATGCCTTCATTTGTTTCTTACAGTTGGGGGAGGAAGAAAAAAAAAACCCAACATTTTCTAAATTAGTGTTATTTAAGAGCTTGAACCTAGCTCTATTCTGATTTTATTCATCCCAATATAAACCAAATGTGGTTGATGTTAGTCTTATCCAGCAATTGGACCATACAAATAAATATTGTCACAATAGTGGTTTATGGGGTCACGGTTCCTTTATTAGTCTGTAAGAAATGACAACTTAATTGGTGAGCTTTTAATTTTTTTTAGAAGCATTTTCCAAATAATATGGATTTGTCAGATCAAAACTGTGCATAGGCTCATTTGTTTCCTGCTGAAGATGATGTACACTGCTGTAACATTGTTTCTTAAGTACGAAGCAAATTTTTGCAAGCTGTTGTATCCAAAAATGATTAAACAGATGTGGAGCCTGCAGCAGCATTAGACCTCTGATCTGATTTTAGCTTACAGATGGAATTAAATTAATTCATGGCAATCACTGTAAAATCAAGGGTATGGCACTGAATGCTAGTGTACTGTTTAACCAGGACATACCTGTCTCAACAGCTGTTAAGAAAAAATTGCATACCTTTATTTTTCATTGAAACCTGCCTTTAATGCCATTATAGATATCATACCAAAATTAAACAAATGTGATGAGTTTTTTGTTTTCCCCTTCCTGGTTTTACCTACTCATAGCTTCCATGTGCCATGTATGTACGTTCATATGCATCATATGTGTAGACCTTGAAGTGTTTGTATTCATATACACAAAGGTTTGAGGATTGGCATTTTGTGGTTTTTTTTTTTAATTGGAATTGGGAGTGTTGCATAGAGAAGGAACATAGGTGAGGGTATATTACAGTGCTACCTTTTCAAGCAAGCTACTGTTCCTCAGTGTTTGCTCCTCACTTTGTGTAATGGCAGCCACTTCTACATGCAGGCTAATTAGCTGGTAGATCAGGAACCCAGTTGTTATAGTTGCTAAAAACATTTTCAGTCTGTAGATAGAAAAGGCTCAGCGCAGGAGATTCCTACAACTTATTAGTACAGAGGCTTCCTCCTAACTCCTGGAACCCGACAAAGCCTCATACAGCAATAAACTTAGAAAAATATATTCCCGCTTTTTTTTTTTTTTTTTTTTTTTTTTAAATCTGATTTTGCATAGTTATTTTTTGTGGGACAGCACAGCGGATTGAGTTTTGCTCTTGCTCCTGGGTGGGTCGAGACTGAACATGTCCCAGAGGTAGCACAGCCCTTTTCAAGGCCAGTGTGCTTGGACCATTCCCTCTAACAGGCCCTACTGGCTAGTCCAAGATGTGCCGTGGGCATGAACTAAAAACTGAACTTGAAGATGAATATTGCAAGGACGATTACTGCTTTTAATTAGGAAATAAAAGCCCAAAGCACAGGAATGGGGGTCAGGGGAATAGCACACAGTGTAGCGTAGTTTTTAAGAGCCCTCTCTTGCCACGCAGTCTATCAGCAACGCAAATTTCTTTTTTCCAGTTGCTGATTGGTCATGGAATGGAGGAAGAGAGCAACACCACTCTCCATAGTCTTCTGACTCAATTAAAATATGTGGCATTACAGATAAATGTTGAAAATGATGGGTGAAAATTGCAGGAATATTAAACACAGATATAGATAGCATTTATATGAAAACTGACTATACTGCAAAAGAATGGCCTGCATATATTAAATTATTTTCACAATAAAAATAAAAACTATTCATATGCACCTCATTTTCAAGTAGGAATAATTAGTCAATTGGTAATATAGGCAAGTTGGGTGGATTTTTGTTTTTCCCTTATTCTTTCTGCAATACAGCAGCACGTTATCCAAACTCATTATCCTTTGGACAGTGTATGTTGTCTGATTGTTTGCCCAAAAGTGAGTTGTGAAGCCAAGGTTATGGTAGTTTCTGCTCTTTTAATAAAACACAACTCTTCAAAGGAATTTCAGCCTCCTAACAGGAGTTAGAAAAATATGAACAGTGGTGGAAAAAATGGGTATAAGGTATAATACGCTTTCTAGAAGTACTTGTATGTCTTTAAAAACAAAAAGTATTCTAATTATCCTGTCAGCCAGGGAAAAAAAAACCAAAAAAGCCAAATAACAATGAGCTATTTCAAAACAATATGAAAAACAAAAACATCAATTTATTAAATAACACATCAGGGGACAGATTGTTCTTTCATATATCTTTTGTAAGGTTGCTCATGGCTGTTTTGAAAATTGAAATTCATATAGAAAGGTACATCTGTTACAGGAAAAGGTCCGTGGGTTTTTCCCCCAAATGGACTAAGAAGAAAGCTGTTTACGTTGTCTCAGGCTATGCTTTGCATACCATTCCAGCAGCATTGCTGTCCTTGTCAAAGCAGCATTATGAATTGTTTAATAGTTCCGGTTCTTAGGTGTCATGAATATACTCTTACCCTTGCTCTTTCCTGCTTGGCAGATCTGTTGGATCTTTCTTCCCTTTCACATTTCTCCCTTAATTGTTCCATAGATGTGCATTGGAACGATGCACTGTTTCTTACCATCACTTGTTGTAAAAAGTGGACCAAAACACACTTCCAGGATTTTACCTACAAGCTTTACCAGAACTTTTGTTGAACAGTAGCCTTTTTTCTTTCCCCTTTTTTGAGCTAGAAAGTATAACTAAGAAGGTTGCAAAGTCTGTGCTGTGTATGCCGGGCAGTGTCAGGGCCTCGTCTGCATGAAAATTACCCTGCCTGTGGGGGCCTGAAAAGAAAGGAAGTCTTGGACATTGAATTTTTTGCTGTTCAGTTCAAGAGGAACCCTCTCAGGGACCGGAGGCTGCTGACTTAAAAGCCTTTATTTTAAGCCTGGCATTAAGTATAGCTTCAAACCAATGCATTTCCCTTTTTCTTTGACTCAGGAGCTGAGATACTAGAAAGCCGTCTAACCTCTATGTAGCCAGTGTTTTACTGAATATGGGCAGATCTATAGTGGGTAATGCTGGAGAACTGGAAATTCATCATCACAGTCATCATGAGGTTTTTAATGTGCACCTCTCATTTTGAACTTCTGTCTGTGTATGCTGTTTCCACTGCGGGACTTTGCTTTTTTTTCTTGTCTGTGTGTGTTAAATGAGGCTTTTCAGAGGTGTACATTAAACTTTTCTTGTGTTCTTAGTAAGTTAATATAATGGGCCAGCTCCTTGTCAGTGGTAAATATTTGATTGAAGACATTAAAGTCTCCAAAACCACAAAACCTTAGTCTCCTTCTACAGTATTTTTCAAAAAGTAGCAAGCCAGAACAAGTAAGTACAAAGTTAAACAGATAATATTTGAAGTTGGGCACATGGGATTTTTATTGTTGTGTTGTTAGAGGGAAGGAAGACGTTGAGCAAAGCTGAAAACAAAATCCAGCTGCCTACATGCAACTGCTTGTGTTAGTTCAAAACCTTCAGCCCTTTTAAAAATTGTTTGTATGGTGTAACTTGATAGGTTTTACTGCAGATTCTTTAAATAAGTATCATTTGTATCCCTCATGCAAGACAGTTATATATGGAAAAGCTTATCCGTGCATCATTTCCAAACTCTAGCTTGAGGAGTTTGGTTGATGAGGGGAAAAACCAACTTTGTTATTTGACATTCACTTTCTTTTATGATGCATTCACGGAAAAAAAAATCTGTTATTAAAAAAATGAATCTGTTATATTAACACTTGCAATCCTGATGATCTTTTCTGCAGTATGTGTGCAGCTTTTCTCAGAGATCTTGATGGTACAGAGAGAAAAGTGTGAACAACATTTAATGGCATTGAAAATACCAAAAGCAAACTTGTATTGTATTTCTTGCAACATTCAGTAGAAGAAAAACTGAACAAACATATAGCTGAATTTCAGAATAGTAGACCACTTGTCTATATTGTCCCTGTGACAGCTGCAACTGTTTAATCAGAAATTATTTATTGTATTTTATTGAAAGAGGTCTTGACCATGAATAAATATTACTAAGAATGTAAAGATGGTGATGTTACTGTGATGTGCCTCAGCTAGTAACAGCATAGGACAAGAAATTCAGGTGATCTTGCCCGTGTATTGGTAGACTTGTGCAGGTGATGCATGTTGTTTGAGACTGATGTAAAATCCACTGTATTGGAATATAAACGATCTGTGACAATATTTGTCATACTTAAAAACTGAGTGAGTCTTTAAAAACATTAAAAATGAAGCAAGGTGTAAGACTGTATTATTTAGAATCCTGTGCAGTCGGGTCAACATGTGCAAAGACAGCCCGTTCTAGCAACCTATTAGATGAATTAGGAGAATAAGAAGGTTTAAAGCTTTAAGGGAGATTATCGTGCTCTTCTCCACATGGCAGGCAGTGCTGATTAATGCTGTGTGTTTCTTTAATCTCAGGGTTTGTAGGTGAAAACAGCCAACCAATCCCAGAAAACAACATTGGAAACAGAATGCTTCAGAATATGGGCTGGACCCCTGGCACGGGCCTTGGACCGGACGGTAAAGGGATGCCAGAGCCAATACGAGCCATCCAGAGACCAAAGGGACTCGGACTTGGATTTAGCTGACAGAAATGTACTTTGGCTGCCCGGTAAAAATAAAGCTTAAATTAAAAAGACACACACAGAAAAAAAAAAAAAAAAAAAAAGGCAAACTTATATTATTTGTTGTGATCGGCAAATCCAGTTATTTTCTCTTCTCCAAGATCACTGAAGTCAAAGTGCTTCGCATTAACTACACCAGCTGCAACGTACAGCCACAGTGACAGAACCGGCATTCGAGTCTAACTTCACAATGGTGCTAAAAAATGTACAAAAACTTTGACTTTTTTATTTTTTTGTGATCTTAAAGTTTGTATTAAGCATAAAATTCAGTATATTCACTTTTTTCATAAAAGCTTCTGACACGGGAGGTTTTAGTATATACGCAAATTTTATTATTTTTTTTTTTTGTAAATATGATTTCATCTCGAGAGTCTCGATAAGATTTGTTGAGGAAAATGGAACTTTTTACAGCTATTGTGTTTTTCCCCCTTTTCAGGCAAAGTTTCCAAACCTGGTATTTCTGGTGTTTAACAATATTTGAAAATAAGCTGTCATTTTGCCCATAAGATATACATGTTTCCCACTGGAAGGTGATACGATATCCAATTTTGTATAAGAGCATGAAAAATGGCTTTGTTGTCAAAGGAATGCCATTCCAACACCATTATCTGGCAATGTATCACTGTCTTCCACATTCAAGCTCAAAAGCAAAGCTTTTATACTTGTTTTTACATTTACAGGATTATCTTCTTTTCAGCAAACATTTTAAAAAGTTAAACTTTATTTTTACTTTGGATTTCCCTTTATATTAATAATCCTCAGTGTTTCCATATTTAAGAATAGTTTAAGCTTTGAACCAGGAAATCGAAAGACAGCCATCTTTAAAATACAGTGTTTTTATTCCGGGTTGTGGCATATTTTAAACAATGCAGTCTTCAAAATTGTGTTATCATATGGTTTGTGATCGTGCTGGTGCCAATGAGCCACAACCTTTAAGGATCATGAACAGAAAAAGGGCAAGGAGAAGCAGGATTAGGGTGGAGGAAAGGAAGGAAAAGCTACTTTGATGGCATCTCACAAATCTAAGCTAGCAATTTAAAATCAAGAGGGATCATTAAGTGTTTTAATCAGTATCCTAATGTATCTAATGTCAGCAGAAGCAATTTCATTAAGCACCAACCAATCAAGCTCCTAGGGTACTTATTGGTCTGCAGTATAAAACAAATTCCACTTGAAAATTAAATGATAGGACTGAAGGAAACTGTTGTTCAGATGGACTAAGGAGAAAATTCTGCCCCCCCTCACCCACCCGTGTGGTAGCTGGCAATATTTACTCTGACTGCAGAGGGAACAGGATATGATTCTCCGGTCTTTTTTTTCTTCAGGAGGAGGATCTCTCCCTTCTTCTGCACCCGAACTGCAGAGAAAAATACTTCCAGATGCTTGCAAAGATATTTCCTTAAACTGAAAAGAGCACAGCTTTCTTCATGTGACTGTGAAATAGAGTGATGAATTTTAAAAAGTGTTTTTATTGCTTTTCTTTTTCTCTCAACTTCAGCCATTTTTCCAGAAAAATAATAGTAGGAAGAGAAGTAGCAACAGCATTATAGCATTGAATTTGCTTAAAAGAAATATTCATGCTTTCTACTGTGAGTACTGTCATTTTAGGAATATTGTTTCACCATACCTGATAGCTGAATGCACACATTCTCTGAGTTTCAGGAGAACTATTTATTGCTGTTTAAATACTTGATATGATTGTGTTCTTTTGCATTTTGAAATGATAAGAAATTTTAAACAGACTTGGGATTTATAATCAACACATATGCTTTTTATTGGAAGGTTTTGGAGCATAGCATAATGTGGGTTCACCACTTCAATATGTCTTGCACAACTGAACTGAACTAAATACATTCCATATCCTAGGAATTTCAGGGCCACATAATTGCAAAGGGCTGAGAGCCTGGAATTCTGCAGGTAGCAGAGGTGCCCACTTGTATAAGTGTTATTTACAATAATGAATTTATGTCGCATGCTCCCATTCTTTCAGTGCAATGTGCTACTAAGAGCAAGTGAATTCTAAAGACCTCTTTGTATTGTACACCACAATGAGAAATTCCATGAAATAATTTTCAACATGTGAATTGTGAAAGTGAATTTTTAACTTCTGGTTGTTCTAGCTCTATTTGCAAAATTGTAAGGGAATATTGATTCTCTGATAAAATTCCATTGTTGTGCTTTGATAACAACACCTACATATCTTGGGCTGGAAATTCTAAGTATGACACATATAACACTTAATTTAATTATTTCTGTGGAATTTACCATAGCAGTAGTTCCTCAAGAAATCAGTCTGCAGCTCCAAAAGTACTTGAAAATGTTTCCTGTTTTAAAAAGATAAGTGGGAAATAATGGATACATGTTGAGAGAAAATCTCTCTTTAGCCCATTCAACATCCTTTCATACAGATACAATAAAGGAGCCAACCTAGTAAACAACCATAATGGAAGAACTATTTAGTCTGATTGGAAATCTTACAACTTTTTGTTTTAAATCAGTCTATTAGTGAGAAACTATTAGATGTTAAGACTAGTCAAATTGATTTTTAAATAGAGATAGATACATCTTGTCTGTTTTCCAGCAGGTATTCTCATAGATGCCACAGCTGACAGTCAACATTTTATGTTAGAAGCTGTAGAACAAAGTGATTTATTAAAATACTTCAGTGTAGTATTTTGAGATATTTTTATGTTGCAGTAAAATTCCCATTCTGACTTACACTATCATTTCAATTCCGGTTTTCCCCATCTCACAGGAGTGGTTTTAAAGATATGCCAGTAGTGTGATTTTGCACAGTTAAAACTAGTGTTAAGAAACAAAACAAAAATGCATTGCATTTTTTTTCTTTTTTAAGACATTGCAAAGTTAGTTGGCTTTGAACCAAGTCAGAGTACTTGGGTGGTTTTTTTCTTTCCCACACCTAACTTGCTATCATACTATCATACCTGCTACACAGCTGGCTTACATTATTTTAAAATAGATATATAAGTATTTTCAGATAATAATTCCTACTGGCTGTGACACTGAAAGTTTTTTACCTACATAAATAAATATGGGATTATCTTGTATCTAAAAGTTACCTTCCATCGCTCACCAGATTCTTTCCATTTAGGTGTTTGATTAGTCAGTAGCTCAGCTGTTACCATAATATTCTCTCTATGCAGACAGCTTAGTGAAGAGACTTTACGTATTATCAGCATTACATTTTGCTACATGTTCCATGGTATCTCAAAGTTCTGTGAATTGAGCCATTAACTGTTAATAAAAGAAGCCCATGAGCAGTATCTTATTTTTGAATAAGTATTTGTCGAAGTCAGAGAAGCATTATCAATATGCTCATTTAAACAAGTTTGTCCCTGCATTTGTCTTTCTGCAATTAGGTCAATAATGGGTGTAGAATGGCAGTAAATAGCTAAATAATATGTATAGAATGCTTTGCTTCAATAACACAAATGCAAAATGAAGTAAAATAAAAAAACTCCATTCTTCATGGGTTTTGTATCTTCTTTTCTTTAAACTGCCCTTTTCAATAGCACTGTTATTACCAGGTGAGTAGAAAAACATGCTGTTTCTGAAAACATAATTAAGGTTGCTAATATCTTGTAGCAAGTAGACGCATATTATGCTAAAACTATTATACTGCATATAGTATTATTTGTACCTTTTTACTAGTACTTCTTTTCTAGGTTGTTATGACCCACTGAAAAGATTACACCACAGCATCAAGAAATGCCTTAAGAAGTTTGCAGTACTTTTGTTATTGTATTCTTCTAAGATGTTTAAATACAAGTTCTTTTCATTCTTTAAGAATGTGTATTCTTTGGTAACTTGTGCTTTCTCTTCAACCAGTTCTCCAAAACTGTTCCTCCAAGGAGAACTCACACAGCCTTTGTTTTACCTCCCCAATCTCCTCCCTCCCACAGCATTTTCAGTAAAGGTGTATCAGAAATGGGGATATCTTCCTTCCTGCTCTAAACTCAGGAGACTTTTTAATTAGACTTTCATCCCTAGCAGGGTTTTCATGAGCAGTGGCATAGTTAGCACACTGCAATTGCATGACTAAGTTACCCACAGTAGAGACCCATACCTAAGGGCAGTATCTGTGTTCAGTCTGAAAAAACACAGTCAGATTTATTCATTTATCGACCAGTAGTCGATAAAACTAATATAAAATGTTAAAAGACAAAATGGCACTTTTAAATATTGTTACATGGTTTTAGTTTTAATTCTCCCTGGAAAAGGTTTTATTGTGGCCAAGTGGAGTTTTTTTACAGGTACAGTATTTAGAATTGGGATTTTATTTTTTTTTATTGGCCTCCCTATACTGGAAAAAGTCATGGTGGAGGTGCAGCAATTTCAGCATGGATGTTCTCCTTTTCTCAAGTGGGTTTTTTTTTGCTAAGAAACTATGTTAAAACTTTGCCTGCATAGATCAATATAAGCTGCAGCTACTAAGCTATAAGAGAGGTTGTCCAGTAAAACTGATGACAACCTTTTTAATATAAGTGTGCTTTAAGGTATTGTGGAAAACTTTACAAAAGCAACAGAAGTTTCATGATTGACTCTCTAGTGGAAATGTTTCGGCTTCCTATGATTCTCTTCTCCTGTCCTACACTAAAACAGATACTGCAGGTATTTTGGTTGTGATGATATACTGCTTGTATTTGAATATTCAGTCTTGAAGTAAAAGGCTGAAAATCACTAAGATTCTGTAATCTTGATCTCCTGCATCTATGAGAACTGTCATTATTAACAGCTGTGAAAAGTGGTCTGAATTAATATGAGGTATTCCATCTATAGAAAATTGGTTTTTTGGCCTGACTGCTCATGGCATGTTGCTATGATGAATTTAAGTATCGGGGAGTCTGACTTATGAAACTGTGAATTAGTCTCTGAGGAATTTTATTTTATTGTAATATATTTACACCAATTAAATATGTGAGCTTATTAAAATCATATTATCTTTCAGAATATTTGATCATGGATATGCTCCCTTTGATTGTGCCTTGTCCTTAGTGTTGTCTTTCATCCTTAATATTTGTCCATTTTTTCTGAAGAAAGTGTAACCATATATACGTTTTAAGTGACTATAGCCAATGTTTTCTCTCTTGAAGTGTAATCTCATGTATGTGCTAAGTGATGCCACTCAAGATTTTCTATAACTTCTACTAGTCTAGTGAGGTTGTTTTTCAGTACCTCCTTAGACTGGTTTTCTGAATGGCTTACTCTTGCCTGTGTCAGTTGTTTTAAGAGATTGTCAGGCTGAGAGCTTGAAATTTCTTTAGCCTGGGCAGGCTGTTGTGTTGTCCCCTCTCTTTCCTGTGGCCCCACGCTAATGAAGACTGCAAGATATGTAATGCTTTGTGCACATAAGTATCTCCATCAGCTTCCAACATTTGAAGTACTAGGTCTAAAAATAAGCACGCATGGAAGTGTTTGCAGATTGGGGCCTTAACTTCCTTCCTTGTAAAAGATACAGCTCCCAAATTTTCCATGGCATCAGAGTTCCCGCAGACCCCTGGAGTCAGCTGCCCCTTTGCTGGGTGGTGCTGGCCCATCTCCAGTGTGGAGTTTCTTTAGAGCACCTGTTTGGCTGCTACAACGTACAGGTTGGCTTGTGGTTAATGTCAGTCTGTCCTTTCCATACCAAAGGGTACATCCTGACCGTGCAGGGACTCGGGGTGCCGGATCAACCTGGAGTCTCTCCATTTTGCACAGCTTAAAATAAAACAACAAACTGCTCGTGCCAGGTTGTCTGGGCCACAGTCGACACCATCAGACAGTCAGACTAGTACTGGGTAGCTGATTTTGTATGTGTTATGTAGTCATTTATTCCAGCAAAGTAGCAAGAAAAAGAGGAAGAAATATGAAATGTTTTGAGTTCAAAGAGAATGTAGCAAAAAAGTAAGAATTGTGGGTAATGGAAGGGAACAAAATCACTTCTGAATCTATGATATAATGAGAAAACTGAAATACTCTTAAGTTTAGGGGCAGATGAGCAAGGGATAACAGGCATCAGAAGGAAAAATATAGATGTCCCAAGTCATATTTTCTCCTATTTTAAAACCAAAAAAAAGTTTCATACAAGGCAAGAACAAGAAATAAGTAATTTTCATTTTCTATTTTTCTGTATTTCTAACTACTATTATCAGCAATTAAGAAACACATAAAATGGGAAACTTAGTGTCGCAAGATATTGAGTGAAAGTGTTTGGCAAAACAAATTCAACGTTTTGAACCCACCTGTGAAGGATACTGACAGGTTTAGTACCCAAGGTAAGTTAAACTTCACATGCATCTATCACTTTGAATGCTTCAAGCTTTCTCAGTGAGTCATCTTAGTCAGCTTATTCTACACTTGTCCACTTCCAAACTTCCTCCATCTTCTTCTCAAGCATCTCTTACTGTTCATGCTGGACCTCAGATTGCTTCTGGTTGTCCATTTCCATGAGTTTTGTTTCCTGTTTTAATGAGCTGTGAATTTTTACATTTAAATTCCTTGGAAATAGCCCATAATGTGTTTTCAACATATTATCCTATAAGGTACGTTTAAGTGGTACAAGGAAATTATTTGTAGAACCAGGGCTAACGGTTTGACATTTTTCCTCACATAAAATGTTTCTGCATTTAAATCCTAGATTTCTTTGAAGACCCTCAGTGCTGTTCACTGTACTCCTGTTGCTTTCTCTCTTGCACAAACTTGGCTGTTTTCTTACAGAATACTGTGCTGGAAAGCACAATAATTTCTCCGGTTGCATTTAGAAGTATGCAAATCTTCAATTCTGTACTTTTATTTTCAAGTCTCAGAAGTTAAATTCAAATTCCACATGCATTGCCTTATTTTTTTCCAAATAATCCAAGTTACCTTAAGCATGTCGATGTTCTGCCATTTATGAAGAAAGCAGAGTATTTATATAAAGTTTTCTAAATGCCAAATTCTCAGCATATGTGATGCTGGCTCTCTCCTTTCTAGTAGTAGTAGATATGATCTACAACGTAAACCGTGCATACGTATGTATAACTAAATACAAGATTTAAAATTTCTTGAATATGAATACTCAGTATGTTAGTACTGGATGCCTTGACAATTGCAACCCTTGAAACCTCCTGCTGTTGGACCCCGCAGCGAGGAGGTCTCACAAAAGCTCTCCAAACCTGCGCGTTCTCCAACCCAGAACAAAGAATGGGAAAACCTGAAGTCACCTTTTGGCTTTTGTAGTTTTGGTACAGCTCAATCATTCGAGTCTGCCCTGGCAGTAATTTCCACACCTGTTCAGGGGGCTGGGGAGACAGGACTGCCCAAGTTTCCTGCCAGGGAGCTGCAACACCAGCAGGTCTAGAGACTCCAGGTATGTAGCAAGGTCTTGGAGCACCAGCTCAACAAAATACATTTTGAAAAACAGATGCTCGCTCCAGCACTTCTTTTGGAATTGTTGAAATGTCCTGCAGAGGACAGCATCTAAGGCAACTGCCACCGTGTCCAGCAGTAACCATGTTACCTGTTAAAGCAAGCTGAAAAAATCAGCCATCTTTGCCATGAGAAATTTGGATTGTGGTTCTTCTTGATCACCACATCCCCAGCAGCCACTGTTTTGCAGCGTGATCTGTGACCACTCAACCCACAGACCAGTGGCACGTTGACTCCGAGGGGCTAATCCTTTCAGGTTTAAAGGTGAGCATGAGGAAGGGCCAGCACCAGTTCCTGAGACATTGCCAATGGCATCCTGGTAAGTGCAGGCTCGAAACTCCTGGAAGGGTCAAATATGCTGACCATGGAGTTTGATAGCCACGAGCAAAGGTTTCTGTTCCTGGCACAGGCTGCCATTTTACTGTGGAACAGAGCATCTGGTTCATCTGTGGGGTTCATGCAGTGGCCTGCAGGATCGGTTACAAATATTTAGGCAGTGGTTTGAGATGGGGATCGTTCCAAATGAACCACTACAAGGCTAATTATACTGGATCAGGATGAAAAGGTTAAAATGTCATGGCGAGGGAAATATCCTCTGTTGATTTTTTTGTCATCATACAGGATAGTGGCTGTTGGAAGAATTTTGGCCAGAACCACATTCCTCTGCTGCCATTAGAGCTGGTAAATCAAAAAGGCAAAACTAAAAAAAAAAAAAACGTTCTACTGTGTAGTTTAGAAAATGAAGTTATTTGCCTTTGTGTGTCCATACAAGCAAACACGAACATGCATGTAGATCTCTATATAGAGAGAGTGGTGTAATACATAAAATTATGAAAACAATAGTTAAATGTTAGGCCATTTGTTAAATTGTCACCTCACATAGCTCACAGAAGTGTGACAAAGCCTCTGGTTCTGCTAAGTCTACATTATTTAAAAGGGGTGAGTCGCTTCTATGAAAGTCAATAAATCTGCAATGTATTGTTTCATATTCTGCCTTTATGTAAACCTAGCCAGGGTTTTAAGTTGTCTTCTTCCTAATCAGTGGTAAAGCACATTTAATAGCTCACTTAAGGTGTCATCCATTAC